GAAGAGACAAAAACCAACGAAGATTAGCTCGTTAGGTTAACCCAATTAGTGACACAATGATAATCAAAATACACTAATTAGAGCTAACGAAAAGAGGAATTGAAAAAAAATGAGATTATAGAATAAGCAACAATATAACAACGATAAAAACAAGTGCAATTGCAGTCTATTGCACCTGCTTATCAACACAACCGCCTTGGCTAACCTACGTACTCACCGCAAGACCTCCCACATCGCCAAAGTTTAAATCAGTCATCCTTCCATTTTTCTTCACATTCTCTTTATTTATCTATCTTTTTTTTTATCAATTACTTTTATAGTTCAGATTTGAAGTATGGAAGATGACTATAGAGGAATCTTGTGAGAAAATTTAATGGGAAAGTGTCCATTGCTGTTTAAAAAAAATACCTTATTGGCATATGTGAAGTATTCAAAAAGGAATATATAATACACATATGGTTAATATGAAAAAAATGATGTGAAATCGACGAGAGAGAGAGAGAGAGAGAGAAACTAATTTGAGAAAAGACGCCATCTGTGAATTTTGAAAACGGATTCTCCCTTGTGTAAGAATAAATGCAAAATTTAACGGCCATAATGGATTTACAGGAGAATCAAGATATCAGATTATCCGTGAAAAAAGATATCTATAAGCAAGAGATGGCTGGCTCAGCACCGTGAGAGATAACTTATCAGTTGGAGTTATCATGTCACAAATCTGAAGTCAATAAAAGTCATCAATGTTAATCTGTACTTGGAGTTCATCTGTTCACAAGTGCTGCCAACATATCCGGAACTGCCAACAGAGATGAATGTTTAGGATTGCCAACAGAAAGGACTTCAGGATAGCCAACAGAAAGGAGTTCAGGATTGCCAACAGAGATGAATATTCAGGATTGCCAACTGAAATGAAGGTTTAGGATTGCCAACAGATAAATATTCAGGGTTGCCACAGGATTGCCAACAGAGATAAATATTCAGGATTACCAACAGAAAGGAACTCAGGATTGCTAACAGAAATAGATTTACAGGACTGCCAACAGATGGATATTCAGCACTGCCAACAGAGATGGATATTCAGCACTGCCAACAGAGATGGATACTCAGCATTGCCAACAGAGATGGATACTCAGCATTTCAGGGATGGATATTCAGCACAACAGAGATGGATATTCAGCAGCCAGAGATGGATATTCAGCACTGCCAACAGAGATGGATATTCAGCACTGCCAACAGAGATGGATATTCAGCACTGCCAACAGAGATGGATATTCAACCCTGCCAACAGAGATGGATATTCAACCCTGCCAACAGAGATGGATATTCAGCACTGCCAACAGAGATGGATATTCAACCCTGCCAACAGATGGATATTCAGCATTGTCAACAGAGATGGATACACAGCATTGCCAACATGGATAAATATTCAGGACTGCCAACAGAGATAAATATTCAGGATTACCAACAGAAAGGAGCTCAGGATTGCTATCAGAAATAGATTTACAAGACTGCCAACAGAGATGGATATTCAGCACTGCCAACAGAGATGGATATTCAGCACTGCCAACAGAGATGGATATTCAGCACTGCCAACATGGACTGCCAACATTCAGGACTGCCAACAAAGTTTAACAATACTGATGGTAAACGCCGTAGATTTGTTCGTCCATCAAAGTACGGAGAGTCACCTAAAACAACCAAAGCAACGTGGAAAACTACCCACAGACGGCCATGTTTCAAGCGAAGTCACGTAAGACGAACTTTAAATTCACAGAAAGTTATATATAGAATGTAAATCATTTTATCATTAAGAGGAAAATCACTAGTTGTCAATGCTAAATGTCTGTAAAAGCTGTTGATGACTTGAGGAGTCGTCAGCCTTAATTACCCTCATGGGTGTAATTAATAAACCTATTAATATTTCTATCTTTCACAGGTAGAAATTGGTCTCATGATTTCCGGTATTGGAGTGAAGATTCCAGAAAGGCTCACTGAAAACTGCCATTGTCTTACATGAAATCACTGAGGACCACCTATAGTAAAAGGTGAAGTGTTACAGCTGAAATTCTCTTAGTCGTTACTGCTTGTAAAATCACTTGAAATAATCTAGTGTCATAACATTGCAAATGAAGTCATCCAGGATTGCCAAGTTTACGAAGATATTTCCTCAAGGCTGTCGGTGTTACAAGTGAAAAACAGCCAACACCATTTGTAGAAACACTTGGAGGCTACTCGAGGCCACCAACGGTCCCTTTGGAAATACTACGGGTTGATTACGTAATGAGTGAAGTCATCTGAAGCTACAGTGTATGCCTGAAATCACCCAAGGCTTCCAACATTTCCTGTGGAAACACCGCGAGCTTTCAACATAAGCCTGTCTGTGAAACCACGCGAATAGGCTTATATTAACAGCAAAATCACCTACAGCTGCTGATAATCCCTGCTGCTGGTAATGACGCCAGTCAATTAACCTTATTAAGACTGAAATCTGGCAAAATTA